TTACCACGCAGCAATGACCGACTCGATGTTCATGGAGTGGCTTGAACACCGCCTTAACCCTGCGTACAACGCGATCCCTGAGTTCAAAGGCAAACGGATGATTCTTGTTCTTGACAACGCCTCATACCACCATCGATTTGACGCGGAAGTCAAAGTGCCGGAAACCAACACTAAGAAGCACAACGTCGATCTGTTGCGTAGGGTTAAGCATAAGGAGGGCGGACAGTGCGTTGTTGAGTACAACTTCGAGGTACCGACAGAGCCTGGTTCTTCATTCCCTGCAGGGAACAGGGAGGGCGGTGTAAGCAGAGCGGAGGTAGCAACGGCCACTCGGGAGTACATCCACCTCAATCACCCTGAAAGGCTCGAGGAACGGGTGGTGACGTTCATGAGGAAAAAGGGGTGGGCGTTGATTTGGACGCCGCCCTACATGCCGTCCTTTCAACCGATCGAGCTTTTTTGGCAGCATGGTAAGCAGTACGTCAGCCTTAACTTTGAGTTGAAGCGAAAGATGCGAGAGGTGTGGGTGCAGGNACAGGGAGGGCGGTGTAAGCAGAGCGGAGGTAGCAACGGCCACTCGGGAACACATCCACCTCAATCACCCTGAAAGGCTCGAGGAACGGGTGGTGACGTTCATGAGGAAAAAGGGGTGGGCGTTGATTTGGACGCCGCCCTACATGCCGTCCTTTCAACCGATCGAGCTTTTTTGGCAGCATGGTAAGCAGTACGTCAGCCTTAACTTTGAGTTGAAGCGAAAGATGCGGGAGGTGTGGGTGCAGATTCGTAAAGGTTGGTACGGGGACAAGGAATGGCCAGGCCAGGAGGGGGGGTGGAAGGCAGCCGATTGTTCGAAGCTGGTTGACCACGCCATTGGAGAGATGAATAAGTGGGTCAAGGACCGTGATGGAGTGCTTTCTGGTACGATAGGCAGCCTCGAAAAGCCGGACGGGTACGATACAGATGATGTGTCGCCCGTGGGTGATGTCGAGGAAGGGGTAGGGGAGCAGATCCAGCAGGAAAGCGCAGAATGGGGTGACGGCAGCGACGAGATTGAACCATGATGAGAGTTTTTTCAGCCTTGTGATCAATTGCTACACCCATGCACTGGGTGTGCCATGTTCCAACAGCACACATATGTGATTGCTGTGCGCGGGGGGTTGCGTCCCTGCTTCCAGCTGCTGCAGTTGTTCATGAAAAAAATATATATATATATTCAAATGTCGACAAGTTTACCCCGTATGCAGCTTGCCACACGTCAACTGCATTCATGTTCTATCTTCTTGCGTATTGACCGCCTTCGTCATGGAAGCGTTTTGCGCTACTGTATGCCGACAGGCGCTTAAAAATGTT